ACAGCTCACAATGCCAGGACCAGAATCTCTGAGATTAATTTAGACTTCTCCTCCTGGTCACCGTAACAAGATGGTTGTCTCAGGTCAAGACATTATGTCAGCATTCAAAGGAAGAATTAAGAGGAATGATCCGTGTCCCTATATCTGGATATTTTATCAGGGAAAAGAAAGGTTTTCCAGAAATTCTTCAGCACACGTTGGCCAAATCTGTGTAATATGGGCACTCCTACACATAAAAAGATTAGAAAAGTGAGCATTTATGTATTCCAGTTTAAATAGTAGAGAAGATAAAATAGAAGAATGTTGGGAAATGGCATTAGAGTGACACCCATGAAAGAGACGACTTCTTCCTCTGAGAGTGTAAGTATACCAGCCAGGTTCTGCCCATGATAGATGCAACAAGATGAAGGAAAAATATGAGTGAAAGACAGCAAGACTAGCTTCTTTTAACATCACCTACACAACACATTTTCATCAATTTTGCAATTTCTAAAACTACAATTGAAAATTACAATTTCAATGGTTAATTGCCACCACTGTAGAAACTTTTGTGTTGTAATAATTGTAATTTTCTGTCAAATTCACTTCTATATATCCAGAATCTATGGTTGCAGAGTGGATTCCTAAGAATAGGACACACCAAAAATATGGGCAAGTCCAAATCTCATGGGTGCCTTGAGTTATCAAGAATTTCTATATATGAACACCTATTAGTCCCATGAGAAAGAGTCCTTTGGTTGATGAAACACACCACCAAAAATTCGGGAAAACCAATAATCTTTAAAAAAAATTACAGCATAAAAAGATTGGGAAAGAAACTCCACTTGAGGTAGAAAGTGCCTGGTCCTGGTGTCTAATCAGAAGAACCAATGAAATGAAAAAACCATAAATCAGTATCATTCTACTTTCCTCTTCATTGTATTCCCAAACTAGGGTTTGCAAATTGCTGGCAAATAGTAGTTAATAAATGTCTAATTAAATAAATCAATAAAAGAATATAGTTAGCTGGAAGGATTTTCAAAGTATAAATATTGAAAGTACAGTTTAGTAAGGTGGTTTCGTGTGTGGAAATGATTGTCTTTCTACAGTCCTGAGGCATGCTCAGTGGAGAACAGTGAAAGAGAAGCTATGGTACATGAGAGTAACAGACTAAGAATGGAGGCTTTCAGCCTAGTGGGTGGTTGTCAGGGCCTACAAAGGAGAGAAAGAGAGAATAGGTTTGTATTATAGCATAGTTGTTAAAAAAAATCAGGCCTTGGGGATAAACATGACTGGCATGAATCTAGGTTCTTTTAGCAGCTATGTGATCATACAGACGCTCTGACTAATCTCCCTTCAAGGAGACTTATCGTTTCAGCTGCTGGAAGCACTGTTGGCAGAAATCCTACAGGTCTAAGCCCTTGAAAGACTGAGCTGCAGACTCACTTCCCCAAGGCCACACCTTTCTTGGGGGCTACATCCATTGACTTCCCAAGGCTGGATTATAAAAGCTAGTTCTTCCTGTCCAACTTGAGACAATAATTCTGACAGGTCTTTTTTAGCTTCTTGTGATGTCCCCTGAGATTGTCCAGCCTGCATCAGAACTGGACCTCTCCCTCTGCCTAATCTTCCTTCCTTCTTCTCCTTTCTTCAGATGTCAATTCCAAGGGCACTTCTAATAAATAGCTTGCCCCCTAAATTTCATGTCAGATTCTGCTCCCTGTGAACCAAAACTTAGACATATCTTGACCAAAGGTCCCTTAGTTACTCTCATTTGGAAACTAGAGGTAACAGTACCAGTCTCAGATTTTAGAGTTTCATATTTTGCTCACAAATCTAAGAAAGAGGTACTGTTCTGAGACTATTTTCACTCATATTTTGCTATTGCACCTCCAGATTGGTTATGTCTGAAATCATGTGGATAAACTACATAAATAAAAATTAGTTACCACATGAGTGAATTGCAGTATTTACATTAACACAGATGACATTGTAGGGTATAATATCAAATGTATGTGTTTGTTTTGCTTTAATAATTTCAAATGAACACTAACACCTCTTTTCATACATCTTGGCATTTATAATGAGGAATTTCATTAAGGTTACACTATAATGATACAAATTAGTACTAAATTTCTTTTCAGGATTTTTTTTTTTTTGGTGGAAAAGTTTGTTGCAATATTTTCGGTAACCACTTTATTGTAGGGCCATCATTTACCTTTAACTTTAGTTGATATTTTAGTTGTTTTAAAATTTTAATTATATTATTTGATTATAATTGTTTATCTAAAATTATATCTCTGAACACATTTTCCTTTTTAAACATGTTATGAGCTAATTTTAGATGTTTGTGATTTTTAAAATCTTCCTATTTGTGAGAGGATACATGTATATCTTTAAGACAGTGGTACTTCAGGTTGTGGGAAGCAAACTACAATAATTACCATTTTTATAGCAATTATTCTTACTGAATATTATTATAGGCAGTAAAAAAAATTCAAAGGTAAATTCACTAGAAAATTAATACAACTGTTGTCAAGAGCAAAACCTATCTTTAATATGTGTAAAATGCTATTTTCAGAGCTATGGAAACATAAAGAAAATGGATGACACTGTGTTAATGCATTGCAGAATGCACAGTATAATCTGAAAGATGATATAGCTGAATAAACGAAAAGGAGACATAGGATCAAATGAAAACCTATAGTCACAACAATAGTAAATCTTCAAATAAATATGGGAGCTTATTTTCTATAACCTCCACACTACGTACTTTAGGAAATACAAAGATGAATAAATCTAGAATGCAAGGAAGAAAAGTGCACAAGAGTAAGGATACAGTAAGTATAAGAAATGAAAGTTATGTTATGTACAAAAAATATAGATAAATGCTAGCCAGTATCAATGGAGAGAGACAGCATATGTATTTGGTTGAAGAATTCACAAAACGATGGAGAAAATAGCTTTCATAAATGGTGTTTACAATTTCAACATTGTTGATTTCAACATTTAGGAGGGAGAGAGGCCGAGTGGGAAAGGCATATCAAATAGAGAAACAGCAATTGTTGAATAAAAATATAAATGCACATAAATGTTTTACATTATATATTTAAGAATATATCCTTATAAAACAAACATGTTCAAGTTGGTCTGATTTTACACATAGACATTCTTAAATAAGAGAACATAGAATGTAAAATGATTTTTTTTAAATTCATCCTCCCATTGACTTCCAGTATCATTTAGGAGACATATTGCTAAAAGGGATGGGAGTGGGTGAGAAAAGTTGGGTTTCCAAACAGCAAAGCAATAATTTCTTAACATTCACCCTATCTGTTTCACCAAATTTAAACCTCTTACATTCCTTGTAAATTTGTGTATTTGCAGCTTTGAAAGCTGAGCTTCTCCCTTGAGATCTAAAATTCAAGTTAAACTACTGTGATCCTTCTACAGGTTGTGTAAAACTTCCCATCTACTAAACACTGAAATCCCACAGAAATGTTACCACTTTAGTTGACACAAAATAAATATGTGGCTATCCCAATTATCCTAATTTGATAATTATACATTGTATCCTGGAATCAAAACATCACATGCCCCCTATAAATGTATACAACTATTATGTACCCATAATAATTAAAAATGAAAAATAAAAATAGTGTCTTTTGTTCTTTTGGGTAGATGCCCAGTAATGGCATTGCTGGATCCACTTGTATGGTTTTAAGGTATCTCCATCTTGCTTTCCACAGAGGTTGAACTAGTTTGCAGTCCCACCAGCAATGTAGGAGTGTTCCTATCTCTCTGCATGCACACCAACATTTATTGTTTGGGGACTTGTTAATAAAGGCCATTCTCGCTGGGGGATGGACATGCTTGAAGCTCTGATTTGGCAGGGCAAAGACAATATATGTAACTTTTTTGGACCCCCATAATATGCTGAAATAATAAAAAAATAAATAAACACCTGGATCATTTGTTCTCCTTTTTTATGTTCCCTATCATTCTTTCAATTCCATTTGTCCTACTGTCAATTCATCTTCTACCTAGTAACTACTTTCCTTGATATCTGTTATATTCTTCAAGACCTGTGTCACACTCCAATTGGTATGGCTATAACATAGAACCTCTCTACCTTCAAGATCTTGAATTAGGTACTTTCCATTATGATAAACCTTTTACATTTTCTTTCTTTCAGTTTCACTAAATTTGCTATTTTCATTCTCAGTGTGAACACCTATACCTCAACCCTGCCAACTTACTCAGATCTTTAATCTCTAATTACAATGAACTCACCACAAACTTTGTTTCTACCACTGCATCTATCACAGTATCAGATTTTCCCAGAGTTCATTCCTGTTTCCCTATTTCCAGGCCAAGCCTTGAATTATTGGTGAACAAAGATTTAAATACATGAGGACAAATCCCCCTTTAAAAAGTTTGGTACTCTTTTGTTGTTGTTGTTGTTTTTTTTTTTTACTAGGAGCTAACAACTGCAAAACATTATGTAATTCACAATTTTTTTTCATCTTTAGCACACTCCTAAGAAAGCAATACCAAGTAATAACAAAATTTACATATTCTTTTAAAATATTCAATTAAGATGTACTTTAATAACAATTTCCAATGCGAACTTCCTCAGATGAAGTCCTCCCAAACTCAGTAAATTATTTTTTACACATTTATTTCTTATTCCATCATTTGGTCTGAGAGAAAAAGATATCTCTCTTCTTTTGAATTTCAATACTAATATTTACATTTTAAAATACTTGCCTTAGGTAACACTATCTCCTTCCTCATCAAAGTCCATTCCCTAAAGCTGAATGTCTACTTGAATGTTCCACAATATACACTGTACAGTCAGAAATCTAATTCATCACCTTGTCCTCCTTTCTTTTCATATATTTAACATAGTCAACTAAATTCAACTTTTAGAATTTTTTTTTTTTGCTTTTCCTCACATCAGTTGTCAAATTCTTCAAAATTTACTTGCATAGTATATATGCCATCATCCTGTCTCTCACCTCTTTTCAATCCCGCTGCCACAAGGACCCAACAGGGAGGACTCACGAGGTATCTTGACTTTATTGCTGCAAAAATATCTTGGCTAGTTTAATTGATTTCCACTCTTATTTCTCTTCCATATATTGTAGCCAAATTAACTTCCAAGAACAGTACACTGTTACTTTGTTTGCTTTCTTAACAGCACATTATTTGCCAAGTAGTCTCAATTAGTAAGTCTGACATTTAAGACTCTTCTTAATTGGCTGACTTTATTTATACAATTTTACACTATTCTTCAAAATGGGGCTTATACTCCACTCAAGCAGGAATATATCATACAGTGTTATAGTGGACAATTATTTTTCTGCTGTTTTAGGTCTCTAGCACCTTTTGAACACATTCTATGTGTCAGAAGGAATTTCCTACTTTATGATTCCAGCTTCCATTGCTGCCAGGATACAGGCAATGTAAACTCAGCGCCTGTTTTTGATGTGTCAACTCAGTGTATTTGATTAGGGAGCTGGGTTTACATTGCCTGTATCCTGGCAGCAATGGAAGCTGGAATCATAAAGTAGGAAATTCCTTCTGACACATAGAATGTGTTCAAAAGGTGCTAGAGACCTAAAACAGCAGAAAAATAATTACCCACTATAACATTGTGTGATATATTCCTGCTTGAGTGGAGTATAAGCCCCACTTTGAAGAATAGTGTAAAATTGTATAAATAAAGTTCATAAATAAAGTTTATCAATAAAGTTTATAAATAAATTGTATAAAATAAAGTTTAAGAAAAGAAAGGCATAAAGAATAAATTTAGGTGGATAGTTTGAGGATATACTCAGCATTCAAATGCAAAAATATAAACTTTTCTCCACAAAATCCTCAATTTAGTGTCCTGTGCCAATTACTTGTTATTTTATTATAATGTTTTCCTCTTCTTAGTTTTCTCAAATTGGCTTATTCACCTACAACTATACTAACATGCACTTTAAATCTCAAATTACTTTCTTATTGACTAATCAATGTACTCTTCTAGGTTTTAGCTCTTAGAAATCTTCCTGCAGAATTTATATCACTACTGGCCAACTCTTCATTCTTGAAAATGATCTTTTTTTTTTAATATATCATATTCTTAAAGTTCCTTTTATCTGACCAGTCATTACTTCTCTGACCATTTACTTTACATTCTCTCCTCACTAATCCTCCAAATATGAATATTTCCTGAAGCCCAAAGAAAAAGTAATGTTCTTGTTTTATATTTCTTCTCTTGTTGTTTAATCATCATTAATGGCTATATATAGATGATGCTAAAATATGTTTATCTCTGACTTCTTCCTGATTTTTTATCATATATGTCCAAAACATCTTTCAGAATATTGGTATTGATATCTTACCAACTCCTAAATTTCCTACATCTATAATTTAAATAAACTTCTATCCCAACTTCTGGTTTCAATCAATACTACTATTATTTTTTCCGTAGCACTATGTTAGAATGTCTGTCCTCTAAGATCCTCTGTATAAGGCAGAGTCATAATCAAATTGGAATATAAATTCCATACAATAGTCACATAATTCAGTCTCCAAATAACTGAATAACAAGTTAATACACTGCTAAAAACTCTCTCCTCAGTCTGAATTTCAAGAAGCTGAGGAAAGAGTAATAAGAACACCTTAACTTCAGAAAGAGGGAGCACCATATTTATAACCAGGGCTAGATGAAAGAGAAAAAAGGTTTCCATGAAAATTTACATTATCTTTATTTGTTTTAAATGCCTGTTAATATTATGAAACACAACTAAAACAAAACTGCAAACAATGAGAAATATGCCCCTTTATCAAATTTTTTGATATATCCAAGGTGCATAGTCCTTATACTTTGACTTTCCTTATCCTCACAGTGTAAAATTTGCGATGTTTTAAAATTGCTTTCAGTAAGAGATATAGATGAATTCAATGATAGCTCTGTTTATTTTATGCTTGTAATAACTTTTATGAAATACTTGATTCAGAGTATGTGTTGTTGTGTAGCATAAACTCTACAGTATTGTATTAAAATATCTATTTCTGGTTTCTGTTACTGACATTCAAAATTCAACATAAAGGCAAGCAGAGAAGATAAAAATGAAGATGAATAAGAAAAAAGTCTCTGAATTGTTTGGAGGTTACATGATATATGGGGAGTGTTGGAATTTAATGAAAAAGGTGGAGATTGAATGATAGTTACAGGAAAGTGAAGAGCCTAAACAAATGATTGGTTTAGAAAGAGGAAGGCACGAGAATATTTAAGAATAAAGGAATAAAGATAAATTGTCATTGCTACCAATAGAGGAAATAATTATAGCACTGAACCTCAAAGAATGTGGTATAGAATACATTGTGGAATATACATGAAAATATTTCTTTAGAAAAGAGGAGGGATATGACTCATAATCATAAAGAGAAGTGTAAGTTACATTCAGATCACCTACTTACTAAGACAGGGTAGAGAGTATTTCATTTCAGAAAGAAATATCTGCCAAAATGATCAGCACAGATAGATTGTGGCATGTAAGTGGATTACATTTCTGATTCCAATAATATAAATTCTAGGTATTTCAAAAATCTAAGAATCTCTTGAGATGTGTAGATAATATTAGCAATCTATAAAATTTTCCTTTCCCATTACTTAGAATGTTTAGGGAAGAAAAAACAAAACAAAGCAAACAATAAATAGTAAATTAAAAATAATACCTTATATTTTCTTGTAATCGAATTACATAAATAGCCACTGATCAATAAAAGGTTAAAAGGTTAAGGTTAAATGGTGACACATTATCATTGGTCTTATCCTTGTTAGTGGGTCTGGGCAAAAGCTCAAAGATGTTGAGATGAATCTCAAGTTCTAATACTTAAAATAAATTGCAAACAATGTAGAAAGCTTTAAAAGTGAGATATTTATTATAATAAAAATTACTAATTCAAAATTCAGTGTTTGTATACTAAGATTTTGTCTTTGTTATGGCAGACGTCTGTGTAAATTTTTTTTAAAAAGAGAATATCAGTGAACTATTATAGTAATTGTAGTAGTGGCCATCACCACATAGACTAAATAGTTCAGTGTTTAATTGAAAATATATAGTTCATCCAAATTAACCAAACAAATGTTTTTCATTTTGTTATGACCAAATCTTCTCTCTGGCAAGCTGTATGATTGATTCACAGCTTCTGCCAAGCAGCAGTGAGTTCACAACTTCAGCTGTTTTTAAACTGCCTTATCTCTTATGTTCTATAGTGTACCCTTTGGTTTTTCTGAGGTTGTATTTTCAAGGTAAAAATTTCCTTTAAAAGACACATGGCAAAATGACAGAAAAGTAACTCTAGTGGTTTTTGAATGGCTAGAATAATTTTTAAAGTTCTGACATTTCCGAATTTTCTATATGGGCTTCTCTGAAGTTTATTTTTTTAAAAATCACTAAAATATGATAGACTTTCTTAAAATCAACAGGTTGCATCATTCATTGAACCAATGAAAGAATGGAGTCCTGATCTTATTTCATGGGGTAGAAAATATTCCAAAGAAAAATACACCAAAGGAAAAAATATAATATAGCCACCCATACTAGCCTTTAAAGACTAATATTTTTTCATTAGCTACTGACCTAACATAGATTAACTCCCAAATTAAATTATGGGAGTGATCATAAGATTACCTGGGATCCCCAATGTCCAAAACTATCTCTGTCTTTCTCCCAATTTCTCTCTCTCTCTCTGATTCAATATTTCTGAAGAATAACTTGACTATTTTTCTTTTTTTAAATGTTTATACTTTTTTATTTTTGTAGACTTAAGGAGTACAAGTATAGTTTTGCTACATGGATTCAGTGCATAATTGTGAAGTCTGGGCTTATAGTGTAACCATCGCCCAATAGTGTATTGTACTCATTAAGTAATTTTTCATTCCTTGCTCCCCTCCCACCATCTCTCCTTCTCAGCCTTCTGAGTCTCCAATGTGTATCATTGTGTATGAGTCTCCAATGTGTATCATCTGTCCATGTGTACACATTATGGAGCTCCCTCTTATAAGTGAGAATGTGCAATATTTGACTTTCTATTTCTGAGTTATTTCACTTGAAATGATGGCATTCAGCTCTACTGATGTTGGTAGAAAAAGTATGATTTCATTTATTTTTATGTGTGAATGGTATTCCATGGTAGATATACCACATTTTTAATCCAATCATCTGTTGATGAACACTTGGGTTGATTCCATATCCTTGCTATTGTGGATTGTACTATGATAAATATACAATTACAGGTATATTTTTGATATATGCTTTGTTTTCTTTTGAATAGATACCCAGTAGTAGGATTGCTGGATTGAATGGTAGTTATATTTTTAATTTTTTTGAGAAATCTCCAGAATATTTTTCATAGAGGTTGCACTAATTTACATTCCCACTAAGAGTGTATAAGGTTTCCCTTTTCTCCACATCCTCACCAATATCTGCTGTTGTTTGACTTTTTCTTATAATATCATTCTAACTGGTATAAGATGATATCTCATTGTGGTTTTAACTTGCATTTCTCTGATGATTAGTGATGTTGAACATTTCTTCATATACTTGTTGGCCATTGGTATGTTTCCTTTTGAAAAATGTTCATATCCTTTGCCCATTTTTTAATTTGTTTTTTCTTGTAGAGTTCAGTTCCTTGTAGATTCTGGATATTAATCCTTTATCAGAAGCATAGTTTGTAGATATTCTCCCCCATTCTGTAAGTTGTCTGTTCACTCTGCTATTCTTTTGCTGTGCAAAAGCTTTGTAGTTTAATTAAGTCCCATTGATCTACTTTTTATTTACTTTCAAGGTCTTAATAATGAATTATTTGTCTAGGCCAATGTCTAGAGGAGTTTTTCCTAGGTTTTCATCTAGAACTTTCAGTTTCAGGATTTAAATTTAAGTCTTTAACCCATCTTGAGTGAATTTTTGTATATAATGAGAGATAGGAATACTAAGTTTCATTCTTCTACATATGGGTATCCAATTGTCCCAGCACCATTTATTGAGTAGGGTGCCATTTCCCCTGTGAATATTTTTATCGACTTTATTGAATATCAGTTGGCTGTAGGTATGTGGCTTTATTTCTGGGTTCTCTATTCTGTTCCATTGATCTATATATCTATTTTTATACCAGCATCAGGCTTTATACCACGCATTCTCCATTTTTATTCTTTTTCTTAGGATTTCAATGGCCATCTAAGCTATTTCTTGGTTCCATAGGAATTTTAAGATTGTTTTTTTCCTAATTCTGTGAAAAATTACATTGGAATTTTGATAGGAATTTTGTTGAATCTGTAGATTGCTTTGGACAATATGATTATTTTAATGATATTGATTCTTCTGGTCCACAATCATGAGATGTTTTTGCATTTGTTTTTATTATCTATAATTTCTTTTCTCAGTGTTTCACAGTTTTCCTTGTAGTGTTCTTTCATCTCCTTG